TTCTGTGGTTAGTTTGGTCTTGTGGTCATCCACTAACTCCTCCACATCCTCATCACTCACCACCAACCACATTAACTTACCCAAAGACACAATTCCATTGTCCACAGATGCTGGTTCGAAGCCTTTTAAATCTCTGGCTGAAATACAATCTGGCCAGAGTTTCTTCCAAGCAGAGTGCATTGTCCTGAGAGAAATTTTCCTCCATACTTTATTGATGATGCATGAGCAATGAAGGATATTTTAATGATCCTTTCAGAAGTCTCTGAGGGTCACTTCTGTCTCATTGGTCTCCTCAAAGCACCTCTGAAACATAGCCTTGGTGTACAGTTTCTTTAAATTTGAGATGACTTGCTGGTCCGTGGGTTGGATGAGACAGGTGGTATTTGCAGGCAAGAACATCACCTTGATGAAGCTGGACTCACCCACCTGGAGAATGAGCAGGAGTGTTGTCCATCCAGAAGAGCCTTCAGTGGTAGCTTCTTCTCGGTGTAATAAGCCTTCATAGAAAAAGCAAACTCCTCTTGAATCCACTCAGTGAAGACCTGTCCGTTAACCCATGCTCTCATGTTTTCCCTCCACATAACATTGAGCCTGCTCTTTATTACATTGTTCTTATTAAATATGCGTGGATTTTCAGAGTGGTACACAAGCAGAGGCTTTATCTTACAGTTCCTACTAGCATTATCACAAAGCAGCAGAGAAAGCCTATCTTTCACAAGCTTATGTTCACGTATAGCCTTCTCGTCTTTTGTAATGTAGGTCCTCCTAGGCATTCTCTTCCAGAAGAGGCCTGTCTCATATCAACTGAACATTTGCTGAGGCACGAATCCCTCATTATCAAAATACTGCTTAAAGATTTTCACAAACTTTTCAGCTTCCCCCAGAATAGCACTAGCAGCATCCCCATGCATCACAACACTATGGATACCAGTACCTTCCCTAAATGTATCGAATCACCCCCTACTTCCTTTTAACTCCCCACTTTAAGCACTGGTTCCAGGTGTGCATTTCTTAAGATCACTTTCCAGGTGCATGGCTTTCTCACAAATAATCCTCTCAGAAATAACATCACCAGCCAATTGCTTCTCATATATCTACACTAGGAGGAGGTGTTCTATCTTCTCAACATTGTCACACCTTTAGCCACATTTGAAACTTTTATTGCTTCCTTATTCTTAAGAATGGTGCACAGTGTCAACTTTGGCATCTCAAACATGGCTGCCAGATCTACCACCTGCATACCACTTTAATGCTTCACAATAAGTTCTAGGGTTTGTCAGTGCTTGCCTTAGAAGAATAACTGATAGAAGCCCATATTTTCTTGTCGCAGCCCTGTTTTCTGTCATAGAATTTGCTAAGTTACTCCCTTCAGAAAACAGATGTTCATTATAAATGTCTTACAGTTTTATTATTGTAAAATCCTAAATGAGATAGCAGCTCTTGGACAACCTGACTGGATTCAGACATCATGAAAACCCACATTCAGAGCTAAGTATAGGTTGAGTGTAGGTTGTTGTTGAACCGTGGCTTATTGTTTATTTATTATTATTTATTAAAACATTTTTATGCCGCCCCATTCGCCGAAGCCTCGGGGCGGCTTACAACACTGTGTCCAATTACATTTAGAAAATAATTAAGATGACAATTTCATGCTTAGTTGGAAGTAACTATCATGGAGTAAGACTGATAGAGGTGAATAAATCATGAAGCACAATTCCAAATACTGGAATGGGGGGCAACCTTTTCAGTCCCAAGGGTGGAATGTTGGGCATCTGGGAGCCATAAATGTGTGTGCACAGATGCATATTCACGTATAACTCATATACAACATAAGGCTCACACACCTTACATCAGGGGTGTCCAAACTTTTTGCAAGGAGGGCCAGATTTGGTGAGGTG